ATAATCCATTAATAATGGCTTTTTTCTTACTTATTATAATAATATTTGTTTTACCAAACACATTTCGAAAAATATATTAACATTAAATAAGAATACGACAATCTAAAAGAGAGTAGCAAGATCTGATATTCCGTTAAGAGAAATGTCAAGCTGTGATTTGAGATTCCAACAAGGCTAGGCTAGCTTGTAATACTATTATCTGCATAATAATACGTACTTGACGTCTAAAGCATTAAAGTCTTTGAGTGTATTAGTGTTAGTCGTGTATTAGTGACCTCGAAGTGTCAAGAACTATGACAGATAGATATTAGATAGTGAGAGATATAAGTGAATATACATCTCTACGATTGAAAGAGATCAGCTGGTAGTCCTTTCTGCGATAGATTGTCCATTATAATAACCGACAGGGAAGAATCAATTTAATTTTCTTGAAGATAATCCTCATGCTTCTCATTTATACGCTTCATTGCTGTGATAAAGTTTTACTATCATAATGCAAACGAACCATTATAGAAGAGATTCTTCCAATCATTCCCATTTATTCGCGAAACATAAATAATTAACTATCTGAATTTCTAGAATATCTTAGAGCCTTAAAGATATTTTAAGAATTTTAAGGAATTAAAAATTCTGATTGACTGTAATTTTAATTAATAGAAAAAAAGTGATACGGAATTTTCTTATTATTATGTCGTAAAATATTACGTATAGTATAATTTGAATTCCATGTAAACTGCAGTTTAGCATGGAAGATTCTTCAAAAAATCAAAATCTCTGTAAAATATTATGTCCAGTGCATCTACATAGTTTGATAAGCTTTAAAGTATAATACTGTTCTCCTTGTTTACTTGGCCGGTCGTCTTTTTTGTAATCAATAAAATTTTGTTTTTCTATTAATTTCAGATCAAATTTATCATCCAGTTGTTTCATCTCTAGATAGTTTAATATTCGATAAATTATAACAAATTATAATCTTTCTTGGGAGCTGCGGTATGATTGCGCGAGTCCATTACGTTGAAAATAAGACAACGCCGATAAAACTCATCGATTACTCTCGAAATTATCGATGTCGTCGAAATTACGCGATATTTAAGATACGATAGCACGATATCCATCAGGATGCAAACCTTAATTTTCAAGATATATTGCCGCCTAAACACGGACATGTTCTCCGCTACACGAGCCGCGCCCGATACACCGGCAATTATTCATCTCGGAAGGTTTTAATGAAATCGGCTGTGTGATTTAGCGTTATAGAAAAGTGATATGCGCGCGCGCGCGCGCGTCTCGAGCACGAACGGCGCAGCGATACGAGAAGCAAAACGGCGGATGGGAGGAAGGAGGACGTGACGTACGGGGACGAAATCAAAGCACACGCGAAAACCGGATGCGCAGGTGAAGTCCCCGTAATAGGGGTACTGGCAATTTACATATGTATCCACCAGCCTAGCGTATACACGGAATAGTATTCTTAGAACGTATTCTCGTCTACGAGAGTGAGAGAGAGAGAGAGAGGGAGAGAGAAAGAGCGAGCCGAACGAAGCGTCTGCGTTCTAGCTCTCTCTTTCTCTTTCTTTTCGTTTCCTCGTCTCCTTCTTTTCCGCCGTATGATCCTCCGCTCGTTCCCTTTTAATCTTTTTCTCGTGTTACCTGCCTAAGAGGTACACCGGTCACGTATACGAGCGGCGCACGCAATGCGACGCGATACGTGCTCGCATTATGCCAAAATTCGATCACACAAGTTTGTCCCGACTCTCAATTCGGCGGGGCCGCTTTTAATGTCGCGTCATCGCGCGGCCTCCGTTTTTCTCGAGAACGAGAAGCACGGTGGTCATCGGCGGAAGCTTCTTCTTACGCATCCCCAGGGCATCCGCGAGACGAAATTACAGGGTCTCCAAGCATTATTATGCTGCGGATTCGCTTGAAATACCTTAATAAGGGATCAATGTTGTGTGGAGCATTTTGCTCGATTATTTGTCCCAATGCATTACAATCATGTCGGCTTTATCAATCATGTCGCGTATTATAAGTTATTATTATTAAAGCTTCATTTAACAGGCATTTTGGGATAAAATTCTTGAAGCGAAAGATATGATAAAAGATATGACAAGATTTATATTGAATTTCAAAAATAAATAAGCGCAGATAAGTGCACACGTGACATTACTGCACGGTATAAAATCATGATAAATGAAGAGTTGAAACTTTCTCTCTATAACTCATTTTATATATGTATATAAAACTTTGAATCCGGATTTCAACACACGAAAATAATGGTCTTTATATTTGTTCGTGATAATTGACGCAGGGTACAATTTTTCCGCGTTTACGGCATCAAAAATTAAACTCGTCGAAATTACAACGATTTCAATCTCCGCAGTCTCTGCAGGAGACTGAAATTTATTGGTGCCTGTGGCTCGAAGATTTGTGATTGTAATTAATTCTCCGCGTATAAGCTTGTAAATATAAGAGTTTACCACAAACATCGAGCTATAAAATTCGATCGAGACGGTGAGAGATATTCTCGAAGAATAGATTTCACACCGCACGTGATCGACGAATACTATTAATGCCGTAGAGAGAGAATCGAGTGAAACGTATTTACGCGGGATGATGGCAGACAAGATGAAAATTGTACGGACAAGAAGAATAGCATCGCGCTCGCGGCGCGGCGGATTTCATCGTCGTGAATTCTGTGTTTGCATTTCGCTCGGAATGAAATTTTTGCTCGAATGATCGCGCATAAATTCATTGTCTAGACGAGCAAGTATTATGCTAGATGCAGAATCAACCAACACACTCGCACGCTCAAGATTTCCCCGCACAAAAACTTGCGTATATATATGT